TGTGGTTTATTGTATTGCAATGTTTGTAAACATGAGTTGTTTTTTATATGTTTGCCAAGTAAAATAAAATTATCATCAAATCAGATAAGTTTACTTTTTAGTGAATATGGTGGGCAATTGCAAAATAGTCTGATAACTCTAATATTTATTGAATATTATTTTTATGTTTATTCTGTTCAAAGAAGTTACATAAATAGATCGGATAGTTTGCTACTTAATTATTTCCAATTGCAATTGATAGTGGACGGAGGTTATGTTTTCACCCCTGTGTGTGAGTGTTTGTTTGTGTTTTTGTCAGCAAGATTTCTCAAAAAAACAGCAGAATGTACTTGGACAAAAGCTGGTGTACATTTGGACTATGACCCAACTTACAAGTGATTAGTTTTTGGACGGTCAAAGTCATGAAAATAAAAAAAAATCCCTATCTGTTAACATAGGGACCAATTTTTCACACTATTTTTACTCTATAACAAGTAAAAAATGATTGGAATTTGATGAAACTTGGTGGACATATGTAGCATATTATTCCTCATTGTTCTGGCAAAAATGGTCCATGTTCATTGATAATGACAGACATGCAGACACATCTTCATATTTTTTGAGAGCTAAATATAATCAATTCTGCATCTTAGAGGTATATGTACTTTACTGAGTGCCCTTCTAGTGTAATTATCAGTTTATTTAATTTACAGAAGATGAGTGTGATATTATGTCACATTTTAAAAACAAACATAATAGTGACCATGTGATAGAATTTAGTTGACATTATTAATTAATTTGCCAAATAGAAAATGTCCATAAAACTTGTCAAAATATTGTTTAGACATAAATTTGTCACTGATGTGCAAATGGCAATTTTCAGAAGAGGTCTATCGTATGAAATCGAAGGTAGTTTGAAAATTAGTTAAAGTAAAACCTAAACAGTGTGAATTATAATAGGAAGATTAATTCCATGTTTGAATATAGCAGCAGTGGAATAAAGTTATTAAGGTAGCATGTATCAATCAGTTAATTGATTAATGAGCCTACTGATTAATAGATTAGCAAATACTACTAATTGCCTAGCTTTAGTCAATACTCTTTTGAGCCAGAAAACATGAGAGCTGAAGCCAGAGATAGTAACAGTTGAGATTCAAATGGCATCAAGGTCTAATATTCAATGAAGAACAGTGCATATGATTTTATAAGCAAAAGATGTCATTAGAAAGCAGAAACTCTCCTTATCATCTGCTCCAAACAACTCTTTATCCATGTCAAAATTGCAGTAAAATCTTTAGTACTTGAATCAGATTAACCAAGCATCTTAAAAACAGTTGGTGTAGGAATCTGACTTACCTTAATCGATCAGGATGGACTTTCATTTCATTACACAGAGACGAGTGATTGTCAGGCTGGTTAATTGATTATTTTCACATGATGTGGCTATATATCCATATTAAAGCAAAAATGTTCAAAATGAGACTTTAAAAAAGAATAATGTTCATTACCAGTCCTTGTCATTACCATTAAACCATAATGGAAAATGACTGTAGTAATATCTCCTGAAAGCATTTAGAATATTCCATTTATCAGACATGATCTAAATGCAGATGTTGAACTTGTTAGCAGCTAGGGAGAACCAATTAAGGGTTAGGAGTTGAGTGCTTAAACACATAACGTCTCAACTCCTACTGCCTTTTGCTGTCTGCAGCCAGTTGTGGGAAGGCAGTCTACCATCTTTATGCATAACAAAAGCCTTGTAGTAAAAATAAACCACTATATATTTCTAGAATTTTAAGTCTCCCACCCTTTTATTTGAGTTGGCATTTTGTGGTGTTGACTATATGCCTTCTCCTGTAGTCTATTATAAAATCAAGGATGACTAGTGCAGATGGCCATTGAGTATCTTTGTGCAAAATTCCATAAAGAAAGAAAGAAAATTATTACGGTTTTCAGTTGTTTCAACTATCCAGTAATCAAGATTACAATGAATGTCATTAAAATAAGCAACTAATTGAAATTTCTATTTCTGGTTATTATTATCCAGTAACTGAAGTATTGTCATTATGATTTTCCAGTGTTACTTTCAGTTAATTCAAGTTTGTTCAGCTTAATTGATCTGTTTTATGACTAAAGAAAATAATCAACTAATTGCAATTAGGGTTTACAATTATTACTATTTTTGGTTATTCAAACTATTAAGTAATCAAAATACTGATATTATGTTTGTGTGTTATTAAACAGAAAGCTACACAATAGGCTATCTGTATTTTGCCCACCATGGGTATTGTAAACCAATTTTTTGATTATGTCATTGGAAAATAATAGATTGTTTTGGTTTTGGAGGGGGGGGGGTACTTATCTTACGAGGCTAATCAATTAGTTGAATGTAAGCCCTACAGTTAATTTATTAGTAGATTCCATTAAATGTCCAGCTCTAATAGTTACCAGAAAAGTTCTTATCACTCCCTTTAAAAGTAGAAGTAAAATTATCAACTCTACAGTTGTGTAGTACCTTGTCCCCATTGTTTTGACCTACCAAAAAATGAGAGGCTCGAATATCTATCTTTGATCTCCATTGAAACCCTTGTGAAAATATTGTCTGGTCCTGTTGCATAATCTTTACTTACTCTGTTTGCTTCCCACTAAACAACTTAATATATACAGGGTTCAGGTAAGTGCCAATATTTCCCAACAAGTTTTGAATGTCTTGAATATTGATAACATCTTCTCTTGTAAAAAAATCAAGTTTCAGGATGAGGAACCCATTGATCTTTATACACTATCTCATTCACTGAACGTTGTTTTTTATTAATAAACAATTCAAAGCCAGACCTTATCACTTGAATATTTATCAAACATTCACATGGAAGTCCCTTAAATTTATTGTAACCACCACATCTGAAGGAAATTCATTCCATGGACCCAAACAATGTGTGTAAAATATAACTGTCATATATATATATATATATGTGTGTGTGTGTGTGTAAACATTTCTGACCCCTAGCCTTACCATTCTTACCATTAAATAGGAAAGAAGATAATGCAACCACACTATCAATTGACAGTCTGAAGCACCTCAGTCATATCCCCCGCTAACTTTTCTTTATTCAAGAGCAATAATTTCGGAGATCTGAACCTGTCCATATACGACAACCTTTACTTCCTAGGTATCATCTTAGTAGCTCAACTTTGAACCTTGCCCAAGAATTCAATATTCTTCCTAAGTTAAAGAGCTCAAATTAATCTAGTTTGACTGAAATTCTTAAACTATGCTTTTTTCTGTTCAACAACACTTCTACCCAGTGAGTTAACTTATCTCCCCCCCCCCCCACACACACACATACACCTATAGAGGACATTTTTTAACAAGCTTTTTATGTGGCATCTTGTCAAATGCTTTCTGAAAATTCATCCTTACTCTCATCGACGTAAGTAGTAACATCTTCAAACTCAAACAATGTCAAACGATTAATAAGGTAAGATTATCACCCAGTTAAACCATGCTGATTTAAACATTACTTAAGAAAAAGCAATAGGTACCATCTGTCTTTGCATGCATCAGGTGCTATCCGTGAAAGTTTTTTTTCAAGAGGGTTAATTTCCTATAAGGAGAACTCATCCTTCATCTAGCATCACTCTTAAATATGGAGGCACAAATGGTATCATTACAGTGTCAAAGCAGAATTTGACCTAATTACATTCACAATCCCACAGCTGTAGCTTCGCACCAATGGTCACTCAACAATATCCCTCTAAGAAGACCGAATGAAATGGTTGTTTATTTAGTATACTAATCTTGTTTGTTCACAAGGTGATTCCAACAGATGGAGAAGAGGCATTTAACTACTTGGCCTTCTCACAGCCTTTCACAAAACCTTGCCATTAGTACCTACTTATCTTTTAAGGGTTCAGTCCCCTATTTAACATTTTGCTTACCTTTATCAGGCTTATGAAAACCCTTGTTAAATTTAATGTTACCAGCAAAATGTTTCTTGTAAGTCCTGTTTGATATCCTAATTTGTTTTTTAACCAGATTTCTAGTTTTATAGATCTTCCATCCTATCTGTCAGTTTAGACTTATAGTATTTATCCCTAATGTTCTTTTATGTCTGTAACTGGTCAATTAGATTTGATCTTCCTTGTTATCATGTTCCTCCTTTTAGAAACATGCCTGTCTTGAATTAAAAGCAGTATATTTCTAAAACTGTCTTAGATTACATTTTAATCCATTACCATAATTCACTAATGATAAATCTGGTCTCATTGCCATAAAAATGTTTTCTGCAAATTTAAAGTTAAAATTCAAATTTTTTGAATTTTCAACATGCAACAAATCCTCAAACCTATTTATTCAATGGTAATGTTCCCCAAAGGTTCTCCCATTTCATCTTTTGTAACCTCATCCACATTAGTAATTAACAGTAAATCTAAAGTGGCTTCTTTTAGGTTTGCTTCCTTACCACTTTCTATAGAAAACTATAATTATTTTAAGAAATGTCTCTTCCACAGTTCTTCACTCTATACAGTCCTGATTAGTTTGCCAAAACTTAAACTTTTCCATTCTTATTGCATTAGAACAATCCTTGTCTCATTACAGAGATACTCTTACTCATCTTGTTCCCTGATGGGGCAGCAGTAAGTTTACTGACTTACAATGCTAAAATCTGGGGTTCAATTCCCCATGGTGGACACAGCAGATAGCCCAATGTGGCTTTGCTCTAAAACAAACAACTTACTTATCTTCTGGCTCATTAGTTCACCTATAGTAATTACAAGTAAATAACTTTCTAGCCTTGAATCCTGTGATTGTAACTCTTATACATTCAATATATCAATGTATTTTATTTATCAACTACACTACATTTGCCATATCCAGTAGCCAACCAACTCTCAGTTAGTTTATTTAACTTATTTCTTGTCCTTCCTAATAGATAAAATTTTACTAAAATTTCTTATGTGGCAATAAAATTATTGTAATTTTTAGGATGAATATATTCTTTTTTATACTTACATTTCAGTTTTTTCCAAAAGTTCTCTTTATGGTGCTTCGTTGGAACCGGTACCTAGTAATCCTGTTATAACACCACCAGATGTGTTTAAAGCAGAAAAGCCTGTCAGCACTATTGAACATTCTTCAAAATTCAAGTCCTTGGCAGAATACAGGTGTGATACATCATTTTCCTGTCTTGGGAATATCTATTTTTTTTTTTTTAATAGTTAAGAGGTGTAAGTTATGCTTGCTATGTTGAAATATTAATGTACTGATATTTGTTTGGATTTTTTATACACAATTAAAGAATGTAGTAATCATAATTTTATTCAATTCAGATTATTAGTTTAATCTTATGTGCACAGGTGGGGGTAAAAGAAATGTGCATGTCATGACATTTTACAAAGTTACATTCAACATTTATTTAAAACTTTATTATCAGTGTGTGTCAGTAAACTTGACATAAAAACATAGTTGATAATTCAAATAGAAAGCTGTAAGATGAAAAAAGTATTTTTATTCTTAACATGAAAATCACCTTGTACTCAGACCAACTTAAAGTAAATTCAGTGAGAAATCTTTATTATAAATATTTTATTAAAAATTCATATTTTTTGTGTACAACATCCTTATAATGTTTGCTAAAAGCTTACTAAATTTCAAGAAGGTACACTAAGCCAGTGTACTGAACACATGCACAGAGTGTGAATGAAGTACTTTACTGTCTTTTTGTGTTTAATAGCTAATGTACTTGTTCAACGCATGATGTATGGGTTGGGGGGGGGGGAGTCTGATCCAAATGCTAACCCCTAGTGTCACTCCCTGGTGGACTGTAAGGGTATATGCTAGGTTTGGTGAAAATCAGTACCAGTAGTTCAACAGTTGTAACTGGACACACACACACACACAAATTTGCCAAATAATTTAGGCCCTGTGTATTTAAAGCATTAAAATATTGGGTTTTTTCCCCTTACTGACTAATACAGAAAAATTGTTGTGACTTAGAAAATTATTATATTTGCCTATCAGTAATTGTTTTCTTGTTTTTTACCAAGCCCATTTTAAAATTCCAATTTGGCTGTCCATTTGAATTTTGGAGTTATTTTATTTCCTGATCAATACTATGCCTATATGTGTAATTTAGTAAATGCTATTCATAAAAACATCTGATTGATATACTCATGACTCAGAGTGAAAATGGATGCTATATTTGCCATTCTTTAGAGCTGTTGAGAAGGAGGAAATAGAAAAAATGTTGGGTGCAAATATTTTTAGAGGAAAGCACCTCAAAAATGTGTTGGGAAGACCTATGCAAGGATGTATTGTTTGACAAAACACTAACAGAAGAGAAAGGTTGCACTCTAGATCAAGCAACCAATATTTCAGTTCCCTCAGAAAATCTTAAGTGACTTTTTCCATCCAAAATATAAAGATGCAATCAAGACTGCCATTGACTTTAATGGAAATATTAAATATGTTAATTATAGGCAAATTTGAAGAAGATAATGTAGCACTCCAAGAGAAAACCTAAAACTAGCTTTTATTTTATTTATAATATAAGTGTAATATCTTTTCCACTAGATTACATTTTATACCTTTACATGAAGGAAATTCAGAGTTGTTCTGCCATTATTTTCTTGGTGTTCATCAAGTGAGAAGATATTTCTAAAATGAAACCCAACCAAGTAACTTGAGAGGTTCATAGATGTTATGCTTATTACATAAAAGCATCACTACTGACATGTGATTTCTCAATTTTTGTAACAGGATAGTAAATTGAAAAAGACTTATAAAAACTGGTATATAACTTGTCATTTACATTGATTATGCATATCTGTCACTACAGGATCAATGCTGAATTCAATAATTGATGAATGGTCCCTCCTCTGAATTATTTTCTTTAAACATTAGAGAGTCTAATTCATTCTATGTGTATATTACCTTCTCTGTCACTAAAAATATTTGTTATACCCACTTACACATCCACATCCAATAGGGCAGAGTTGGTAAAGTGGAAACAATTTTTGAAGTTTGGTCTAAGAATAACCTATTACTGCAATACTCTTGTACAAATCTACTCTCATTTATTAGTTTATTATCTAATGCTGTGCACAAATAACTAAAAACAAATGAGTAAAACATTAACACCATAATATAGTTACTTTTTATGATACATTTTTCATTGTCCAGCTATAGTTTTGTTTCAAGGGTATTTTAAGCAGTGTAGATGTGGTAAAATTTTGGCTTTAATGGACTTCTCTTGTTTCTAGGGAGGGACAATGTTTGGCTTCTAAATAGAGGTCTTTATAAGTTAAATGTCAATGTTTTTAACTGTGAGTTTTATTTGGTTCGTGTGGTGCATGATAGTTATTTCCTGCACTTGTTACTTTGTGTGATTAGGCAAGACTATAAGTTAAAGGTATATTCTGAAGTGCCATTTTCACCATAAGAAAAGAAATAACTAACAAGACTGGGATTTTAAACACATAAAAATATTTTATAATGTAACTTCAAAGTTGCATTTTTTTTTCAGATTTCTTTTTCCAGAGTTTTTACCAATGGCTCAGATGAATAAACGTCACAGAGTTCGAGAAATATTGGAAAGAATGGATATGCTTACTAGGAGAAGCATAATTGTTATACCAGAGTTTTATGTTGGTAAGTTGGATGCTTTTTTTAAGCATTGATCTTGGAAAGTAGTTTAGTCTCTTAAAATGTAAAAAACAAAACAAAAAACATTTAATTATCAATTTCCACTATGAATGAACTTTAATACATTTGCAGGGTATAATTAGTGGTTAATAAGCTAAACTTTGGAGCAGAAGGGAACTTGTCCATACATGGACTAACTTGGTTTGGTTTTTCACTTTATCATAGCAGCACTACCACAATTTACAGTACATTACAAAATTTCAATTCAGCACCATTTGGTTGACTTGGTTACTTAATGATGAAAGTGAGTCGTGTGATGACTTCTTTTGAGGAGCTTAGGTTTTTGGTTATTTTTGTTTCATTAGCTTTAAGCACTTAATGTCACATTAAGGACAACAAGGAATCATTTGATCCTTCAAAGCTGTTCCTGTACAATCACTCTTGAACGAAATTAAAAATTGTAATCCACCCTTTAATTTTCAGAAAAATCATTATTCCTCTTTTAAATCCTATAAGGTGCTGGCCTGTACTATTGCTTATTGCAACTCATTCCATGGAGCTAGTGAAAAAATATATCCAGAAATGTTACCTACCTCTACACAGCAATAAGAGCTAATACCTATTGCAATTTGATTAATTAACTGTTTTGATACCAAGTTTGTTCATATACAATGATAATAAAATAATTGAATGAATTTTTGAATGTAACTATAAAGTTATGACATGTGTACTTTGACTTATCCTTAGCAAGAAGGTAAGATAAACCAATAAATAACTCAGCTTGAGAAGGATTTGTTCTCCTAACTGGTGCTGCTCAGGTGTCCCCTAGTATTGTGGAAATCACTCCCCATCAGCTTTCCCTTTCTGCCACTATTTCAGACAAAATATCATTTTTGTAATTGATCTGCACTGGCTCCTCCACCATTTTCAGTGTGGGATTCTAATTTCATTGTGGTATGTGAGGTAATTAACATTACTAAAGTTAATATTTGTCTTACTTCAAAATGTATTTCAAATAGATAATTACTTCTACACCACCTACACCTTTCCTCTCCACTTTCTGCACATGGAGGTTGTGTCACACTTTTATTGATGGAAGGGTAGAAGCATTATGAGGATTACGTCATAAGTAAGTGAGATGCATATAAACATGCATATATCTACCAGATGTTGGTAACCAGATTGTGTCTTTTTTTTTGCCCGTCTCTTGGCCATTGTTTATGTCATGTATACTTTAAAACATTTTAAGGTTGACCTTAAGCTTGATCTGAAAGCTTGGTTAACTTGTTGAGGAGTCTTTCTTTTAACAACATTTTGTATGCTACTTGGACAATTGCTATTGCATTGAGCAGCTGTTTGCAAATATCCTTACTCATAACCACTTTTGTAAAAACATTGTAAAGCCTTGCTTCTGCAACAGTAACTTGAAATAAGTGTTCATATTTCACATCAAATCTATCATTGCATTTCTTTTGCCTGAAGCTATTTCAGCTTTGTTGAAGCCATGGCAGATAGCAAGAACATAAACACTGTTCCGTACGCAACTTTAGCTCTCTGTGCAGTTTGCTAATTGCCAACATCTTGTGGTATATCAGCACCCAATTAGCTACATATTACTTTCTTCTTATGCTTCACATTATTCATGAGCTGCTTTGTAATGGTGTACAATGAACACACTGCTACAATAAGGTTCAACAACAAAAAAAATAATTTATTCATAATAACAACACTTAGAAATAAATTCAACACTTAACAAAACACAGTTAATAAACAAATGTCTGGCCAGGCTTCACACCGATATTAATAAACAATTTATCATAAATATTAATAAGTAATAATAATAATAGAATCAGAAAATGAACCAGAAAGAAAAAATACACAAATACAATATTCACAAGATACCTTTCACTATCGTTAACAATATTGAGTGACAAACAGCAATAACTATACCCTTCAATAACTACCTTGTGACTCTCTTTCTTTTATTGAAGCTTCTGGTAGGATATTTATACACAGAGAAGGTCACAAGAGTATAACCTCACGTGATCATAAATTTACATACTCTTCTGCTACATTAAAAGTATTTGTACATCATCGCTAGGGAAACTGGTATCAGTTTCATCATACAGACACTTATATTTTCTCAAAATACAAATGATTATGTAGAAGGTGAGTTAGCATTTTGATGCAACTACAAATTCATAGATAAACTAAATGATAGAAGTAAATAATAAATGAACGATAAACACAACCATAATCATAAAAAAATAGAATTTGCTATCTCACAGCCATTCTGGGACTTGTTAAGAGTTTGTTCTAAGGCCATATCTGCATCAGCAACTGTAAAGTGTCATGGTGTGTGTTTCATGACAAAATGTTCTTATATAAAGCTTTGGTAGATCTCTTGGTGCCTTGTCAAACAGCTTTCTCTTATCCTTCAAATACAGTGAACAAACAGGGGTAGTTTATAGAGTCTGATGCACCAAAGAGTAGAAGTAGTGCTTAAACAGTGTATGTAGAGCTATCAATTTCTTTTGTAATCACTCTTGATGAAAGTTTCTATAAGTGGATACCAGTTCCATGAATGTGAGTAGTATCTGCAAGTCCCATACTACTCTTAATTCAATTGAAAAAAAGTTGAGTAGGTGTTGGCTTTCTAATTCATTCTTTCTCTCAACACTGGTTTGCAGTCTGTGTAGCCAATGCAAGTCTTGCTATATTTCATTCCAACAATAAAACTAGTGGATGAAATTATTTGAAACATCATAGGAACTTTCATAAATGAATGTAGTTTAAGAAACATAAAGCCTGTTACTTTTGATAAATTTAGTTTTTTGCATTATGATCTTTAATATCTGGAAAATTACATTATGAAATTGTATTTATAAGAAATGATTACAATATTTATATTTGTTCCAGATTTGAACTTATTACTTTTAATGTTTTAGTACATTATTTTAAAATCCCTAAAACTTTTCATTGTTCATAAAATGCAAACTTTGTCTATTTTAATTTTTTTTTAATAATCACGTACTCTCCTTATGGTTTCAAGTAATATACAAGACCTGAAAATAATATTTCTAAGTAAACCTAAACAATAAACAAATATTTTTATTTTTAACTAGGGTTTCATGTTTATATATGTACATAAAAAAAACATTTTAATTTTGTTTCAAAAATGTATTTTTATTTCAAGTTTATGTTTCATTGCAGCCGTACTTTTGTTTATTCTGCTGAATAAATCGTGAGATTAGCAGCGTGAACTTTGTGCATTTGCTGAAAACTATCATGCCTGATGGTGGTCACTCTCATTCAGTCCAGCGCAGGCGCTATTGAACATATGATAGTAAGAAAGCTTTTCCGTACTTGAATATCATTTCTTTGAACTTTCAAACAAGTTTAATTGAACATATGTCATTGTATGTTGTTTCACCATACAGACAAAACTAATTGCCACTACTAACGAATGTATGTAATAGTTTACAGTACAGGTGGTTTGAATAACACCCCTGACCCTAGTTACTTGATACACCCTGTTAGAAGAGATTACCAAATGATACAGACACCATAAATTACAAAGAAAATTATTTACAGCACTTAAAAAAGATTAGTCCTGGTCACATTCCTCTTATTATAGGCAAGATTTATGTTGGAATTTGAAACTTAAGCTCTTCAGTGTAATGAGACCCCAACTATGAGAATGTCATAGTTCCCTTGTATTATTGAGACGAATGTATTTAGTCTGTTTCACAACCAACTTATGGGTTTTATTGTTGTCACTTGTACACAGAATTTTAAACCATTATAAACCGTTATAAACTGGACCGTTTATAACGCCAAAGCCTGTTGGCATGCTCCACCTTTGGCTTACCTCACCGACCACATTTTATTCAGAAAGTCACATCTTAGAGACGATCTACTATGTCATATGGGCTTTCCCATGGAGAAGACAACTTAGGAGACTTCCCTTTGGTCTTCCTGGGATTATACAACCACACCTTGTCTCCTGGTACAAAGCTGACTTCAGTAGATTTCTTATCATAACATAGCTTCATGGAATCAGCAGATATTATTCTACCAATATTTCTAGTTAATCTTTCAGTAATGTTAGACTGAGGATGATGTAAAGTTGTAAGGATGTGTTTAATTCCTATAGTTTTACAAGTTTCATCCATCAAATGAGGTACAAATTGTGGGCCATTATCAGATACAAGAGTCTTAGGAATACCATATCTACATGAGTATTCATTAATTCTCTCAACATGGGCTCCATCAATTTGACCATCCATGTGACCTTTTTTGTACTCGTTTAGTCTTTATAGATTTAATTCTTCCAACTTTCAGTATTGTGTGTATATCTTTACAAAATTTGGCAGTCTTTCAGTTAATATTATAAGTCCTTCACATACAAAAAATCATATTCTTTCTGAAGTATTTTAATAAAATAAAATAAAGATTTGTCCATGAATATATTGAGTATTTGTTTTGAATAGTCTGTGTGCAAAGTAATTTTCATTTTAAAATTAAAGATACTTTACCTCATCTCAAAAATTTCAAATTTCCTTTGTGTAATCCCTAAAAACCTCCTAAATGCTTTTCAAACGTTTTTTTTTTTTCAGTAAAACTTTATAGTTTATCTGTTATTTTTTCTAATAAACTGGGTTGATCAATTCGACCGACTTTGTAACCACCAAAAATAAATCTAAATTACCCTTTTTTTTTTCTTTCTAGTATGACTTGAAATTGTAACACGAAACTACATTCGTTTATCCTAAGTTTGTAACACCATAAATTTATTTATAATTAAATTTTATTGTTTTGTTGTCCTTTGAACCATGTCTAACTATTACCTGCACTATTGTAAGTTGTAAGTCACTCGGAGAACGTGCAGGTCGCATTACACTATTGAATTACATTACCCACGAGCTACTATAAGCTGCTCACATGTGCCTCATGAACCATTTTAATTATTATTATTACTTATTTTACCTAATATAGTCTTAAAT